CATCCTTCATGCAGGGACTTTGCGGATTTTCAGGACTGCATTCACCATGAATCATATTTTTAACAATGGTTTTATGGAGTGTCCGAGTATTTTGGATCTGGTATTTCAGCGCTTATTATTTGATCGGGCCTTAATTTACTTTTCAGCCATACTAATATATGTCCTTGTGGTAGGCCTCATTTTTGCCATTCTATGGAATACATAAAGCACAATACTTGGCCAAATATTTTCCCTTGGGTACAACAAACAAACAAGTTTCTTTTCGTTTGCTGATGCAATAATTGTAAGAAGAAGTCTTGGTTAAACAGGAGGTCAGTTCAACATTATTTTTGATTGTCTTTGTCAAAAGCTTTTGTTTTTAGATATCATAGATCTTTTTGTCATTTTTGTACTGTTTAGTGGAGAAAAACAACGTTTGTGTTACCTTACCCTAACATACCCTAGGTAAAATGTCTGTTTACACTTTTATTAACCAGTAGAACTAAGCAAATGGCTTGAGTTAAAAATTCTCTGAGAATCGAACTCGGAAGCGTCTCATATTTAGTGGTTTATATAATCACACCACTTTATATAATCAGATTTAGTGGGAAATAAATAAAAGGGTAAGTTCTTGAATAAAACATGTTGTTCTTCCAACGGCAGGATTTATTGTAGACTGTAATAATGGTCCCTTAATGCAAAAGAAAACGTCGGAATAGTATCTTAAAATTATAATTTACAATAATTCCATGTTAACATTAACATCTTATCGATTGATGATTGAGCGACACTCTACAGACTTATCGAACGCGATTCAAGTTCTTTGGTGTACCTACAGAATTTACGAAAAAAATGAAGTGAGTAAAAAAAACATCCCAAAGTAGAGTAACATACGTTAATATATTTTACATAATAATATCACTATTTTATAACACTAATAACACCAAACGACGTACGGCTTCAAATAGATGTCGCCATGCACTTCGTACGCGACGAGTTCCGTAAGAGAAATGTTTCAATACAATTATTAAAGACCACATTGCCTTACACTAAGGCCATTTAATGGCAATAAATGTTACATTTTTTAATTATAATATAAATGTGTAAAACTACAAAAATTACGCGTGGTGTCCGTTGCCTTTATAAAAATGTTATTTATACTTTTACCCTTCACCCGACATATAAAAGTAAATGTACATAATATAATACTCTGTTGTATAAGAATCCAAATCTCACAAAATAACAGAACACAATTTTAATTAATTTGCAATTTAAACTTAGAAGCCGAATAACAAAACTAAAATTAAGTAAATCGCCAATAAAGCAAAGATGCAATATAAAAATATAATTCTTGATTTTGGGATAAAATATCAATAATGTAATATAACAGGGGGCTTACTCTTGAATCCAATTCCGATCGATCGACATTGACGTTGTGAAATTTCGTACTCTTGAGTTGCAACACTAGCGCCAATTTCATTCGTATTGCATGGATTTCTCATGAACTAAATGGTATTGAGTTTGGCTATATATTCCGTACTCTGAATGCTATTTTAACAGCTACGATAGAAGTTGTATAGTTTTGACATTGGATAATTATTGAGATTTTATTGGATTGTAATTGCATTGACATTGAGATTGGTTTCAAGAGTAAGCACCCAGATTAATGAGATTTTCTGGAACTTTTTCTACGTATGTATTTTGATAGACGTATGACACATTAAAGAGGGATGATGACGAAGATATTTTATTGGACACGTATTTCTTTTTACGTAATTAAAACCTTTTGGGCGATTTATTGATTAAAATGTATACTGAACGATGACGTAGACACAAAATTTTATCCTGTAAGTGTCGGAACGCAGATCTAAAAGAGACAATGTGTTTTCTATTGTCTCAGATATCGATATTTTTAAAAAGTTAACTTTCATATGGTTTATTAAAACTATATACGTTTAACATTTTATCCTTAACGGACTGATGGTCCAAGCTAATGTTTACTTTTTATATTCTATCATCATCCCTCTTTTATTAATATCATCACGAAATTAATAGGCAAATCAATTATTTTGTTATGAGGCGCATGCGCATTGCCTAACACATAGAAGTTTACAAAATCAGGAGAAAAAGCACCATTACGAATCCTCACATAATAAAACAAAAAATTTTCTAATAAAATGGCATTGCAAAGTGGATAAGAGATTCTTAAGTTTTGTACATTTATCTAGAGTCGCGTCAACATCTTGCAGGCCAAAGTAATCTACTTGATATGTATGTAACTGCTAAGCAAAAGGTGTTCGGTAAAAACGAACTGCAATCGCAAAACAGCATTTTTTATTAATTACTAAGCCTAATAAGTAAAAAAGCCGTTGGCTAGATTTATTTTACAAAAAATCAAATCAATATACATTTACTAAATTAAGTTGATACTTCATTTAACCAAACACCTCTGACTTATAATCTCCACAGTGAACACGTACGTGTGCCCGTAGAAACCGCGACTTAAAATACGAGTAGAAGTATACAAAAAAGAAAACGACAGGAAAGTACATATTATTTTAAAGAATTGACAATTGTTGCGATTATGAGCTGTCAGGCTAAAACATTCTGCTGCCGTAGACGGTAGAACGTAGACAACCGTTGTTACAAATCGTAGAAAGTTCATAATAAAGATATAATCTTTACAACACCAATTGTTGAAATGTTTTTTTAATTGTCTTAATTAAGATTTAAGTAGTGATACAAATTAACCTCTATGCAGGCGATGTACTATGTGCACCGGGAGGTAATATGTAATCGTCAGCACAGTGCAAAATCATACAGTGCACATTTCTACGATTTGTCACAATTACAATCTGATCACACTAAAACTAACTCAGGACGGATCCTTCGATACTTACGGAACTCTGTTTAAAGGCACATAGATTCATATAAACCAATTGTATTATGTTAAAATTAACTTATAGAACAAAAGGGTTACTTAGTTTATTTATCATAAATTATGGATTAGTATTATCTAAGTAGTTTTGTTTTATATCAGTTAAATCCACGGCCGGTAAAAAAATCAAAATAATCTTCAATAATCTTGTACAGGTAGAATAAATAGTCTATTTCAGCAACTGCAAACATGTGTTTATTGAAACATTATTATATTTGTTCTATAAGTTATTTTTGCAATTTACATTATCACGGTGTAACATATGCTAACTGAAACCATCAGAATGTAGGCTCTATACAAATACATAAATCCTTTTTCTTTTCCGATTCCTATTTCACTATATTGGTAAATCTAACTAAGCAAGAACAATATATTAAATAAGGTTATGGAATAAACAATAACTATATCTAACATGATTGGGAAGTTCAGAATGGAGATTCAGTTTTACACCACCGTCATTAAAACATTAAAGCCATTTCACAGTGTTAACTTGTTCCTGGCGATCATATTGTCAGAACAAAGAAATACAGTATTAAAGTCAGTTGGCCATAAGTAGGAAAAACGCTTCAATCCACATTACTTAAAGCAATTTCATTGTAGATCTAATGCAAAGTAGTAATTTAGAAAATAATTTTGCTTGTGTACAAACTGTGGAACTAAGTTACTTCTCCCAGCTTGTGCACAACGTGGGACGAAACATTTTTATATTATTGAACGTTCAATTTTGCAGGTGAGTTCTTTATGTTACGGCCTTTTTCAATACTTACTGGAGATAGAAGTTTGACATCATATGCCACCATTTTATCTTTTGGACGTAAATCTAAAGATAGACAAGTTATAATATCATTGTTAGGTGTGATCTTAAGATACCCGCCAGTTGACAGTCGACACTGCATAACACCAGGGCATTGATTTTTTTAGTGTTTACAATTTCGTAAAAGATCTAAATGTGTAAAATGATACATTCGTAATTGATATTTATAGGCTGCCTCAATAAATGCATGTATACAATAATATATGTATTGATAATAATTTTTAACAAATGTATATGCATATATATCTAAGTATAATGACATTGTAAATCGACCCTGTGACGGTTCTAAAGTATGAAGTGATATTTCGAGATTTTGTTTACTTGAAACACATTGAACACTTAATAAGAATGCACATAACGTAACACATACATATAACTGCCGTAGCCACATTATACAGGATAAGTTTTAAATTATTATAAAAACTTCATCAACAAGTGACGGTTCTCTACTAGGTATAACATTGTCCTATACAAAGAAACTCTAGCCACATAATAGTTTCTAATGAAATAAGTTGTTATTTTTAGATAAAATAATATAAATATATATATATATACTTACAGTCTTACTAATAAATATTTATCGTATAAGAGGTATAGCAGTTTTACTACTAATAAACAACAAAATATTGGACATGTACTCAAACAACGACACAATATGCCAGAAGGTGCGAGGTAATTATGAGAACACATTTTAAAACATTAAAATGAACGTTTCTAATTTTAATTTTTTTACGCGCAAACTAGAGGAGATGTTGCAATTGATCAGATTCGACGTTTATGTCTTGTTTATTGATAATGTCTTGTGTAGATGATTATTCACTCCCAGTTCAATAAGTATCAGTATAAGTATAATGTTAAACAAGAGAGTAACACAATTTTATTAGTAAGACTGTAATTTTTATGCTACATACAAATGTACAAAGTAATATTTTTGTTATATTAACTTTCCAAAATAAGTTTACAACAACACATCTTGTGATATACATACATATTATTTGACGTAACTAAAATAAATAAAGATATATTTTCTACTTTATCTAATCATAGAGAATGTTCAAATTATATTCTTTAAGAAATAACGCATACACTTACCTTTAAGCAAAACGGAATCCAGTTCAATTGTTTAGGTACGATTTTAGTTATACTACGATTCGTGTACATTTAACATCGAAGTATATGGATAGTATATAAGTACACGTGGTATATTGATGGTGTCGTATGGCCAACAAACCTGTGGGTGCCAGTTAGCACGTGGCGTGTGCGTGACGTTTACATGTGGATAGTGGCGGCGGTGTAGCGCGCCTCACCGCGACGCCAGTTCCATTGCGACGGCCGGTACTGAGAAAGTTAATAATTTATTTACTCTACTTGCCATTATCTCAACTTATTTATGGTCGGCACAATATGTATTATTTTTCATTCTCCCATATCAGACGTCATTTTATCACAAACTTACGACTTACACATTCTGTCATCTTTTGTTTGGTTTTTCTTTTATTTCTGTTATTTATTAATATATTATTATCGGAAAAAATAGGGTAGTTTCCTAAATTTTATTTTAATGTCCGTCTGGTACATCAATTTAAAACTTTAGACACGTATTTATTCTTTTCTCACAAAATTAAATACTATAGACGATATATTAGTTTGAAATATCGTGGGACGTCACAGCGTGCCACATTTTGTAGCACGTTAGGACGTAACGACCTCTCACTCTTAAACTTAGCGCCATTTTATCTAAGTATTGCAACGTATTACAAGAAAATAAAAAAATACGTGTCTAATATTTTTTCATTATTTAACTGACGGACTAATTAGATTATTAATATTGACGCTCCGACAAAAAAAAAGAAGAATTGTCCTTACTCAAAATATTAAATCTACTGCCTAAAATACTAATTTTCCGACTACTTTTTTTTAAAATAATAAAGACGAAAAGACCGTATGAGATACTGAAATCTTCGAAAAAGAAACATAACTGTGTATTGCTAAAATACTTTTCTACAAGCATAAATTATGTTCTACTGAAAACTATGTTTTGTCTAACCTAACTTTAAACTTAGTAATTTTGTCGCACGTTCAGTATTGTATTCGGAAGTTTAGTTTTGTTATTCGAAGACCCATTTTTATAGATCGGTGGAGATTAATGTGTTTTCCGGAACCACTATTATTTCCCAAAAAAATTATGACGTCTGTCTGGCCCTTATTTTAAATGAACGTAAAAAGGAAAACGAAGCATAGAAAATTATAGGGCAAGTAAATACCTGGCGTGTTATTTTTCAACATGGCCGACCGGTAGTACACTTATTATGGCTGATTACGATGGTAATTTTAGATATTATATTAGGGTTATTATTTTATTATATCAGGGTATAACCTGGGCATCGTGAATAGGTTGCTTATGGGTCGACATGCTCCATCATAGACCGCATCGCTTACCATCAGGCGAGGTAAAGGTCAAACATCGGCCTATCATATTAAAAAAAAATCCCAAATGCTATAAGGTACCTTAATTAGCAGTTGTCCGCTGCGTGTGTGCGGGTTCTTGAATGCATAAAATATCCACGAGACTGCCGCGCAGATCAGCGTGATGGAGATAAAGGCAGCGACAGCGCCACCTAGGGGCGAGTGCGCTTCGACCGTGGGAGAAGCTTGCGCAGCCTGCCCTGTTTGTCCAGCGTTCGATTTCGGAGCGTCCGCTTCTGTTGTTCAAACAAGTTGAGTTAGTGTTGTCTGTCAGCGGCAAGCGCTACTGCCTAACAAAGTGTCTCATCTCTGGTCAAACTAAACGCAATTTGAAATTATTTTGGTATCTGGAGCGCCATTACAATAGAAATATTAGGTAGGTTTTACGACACGATAGCTAATTAAAAAAAAACACTTTTGAATCGCTAAACGACGAAATCTGAAATTGTCTTGATTCAGACATGATAAATTTTTACGAGAACAGGCCAGAAGATGTATGGAGAGGAACATACGTGTATTGACGACGGTGTCATGTCGGGCGCTCTGCTGGTCGGTAGTGTACGCCGTGTTGCCGGTCGCTGGCACCCCGCTCGCGTCGGTGGGAGCGTCGATACGAGTCGCCGCGCAACCCGTCGCGTTCACTATTGTAGTCTTCTCACATTCTGTTTAAACATAATATCAAAATGAAGATAATAATATGCAAATAACATCGCTTCAAGTGTGAGCGAGCCATGCTTCGACACGAATAGGCCGTCTCGACAGCAGTCATATAACGACCTCATAGGAAACTGGCGTGGAACAACGCATGCATTTTGTTTCGCCGTGTGAGTGAGATTGTCGGAGCCCAATGTTCTCCCCAACTTAATCCTTAAAATCCCCAAATCCCTAACCCTCAAAAGGCCGGCAACACACTTGAATCGTCCGCTGACGCTTTATGCCATATTGTATCAAAACAGCTAGTATCGTGATCAAATTACGCTTTATCTTTGCAATTATTTTTGACAACACCAGTAGTATAAATTCGGATAACAAAGTATGTTAAGATTTTGGATATTAACATTGAGAGAATATATTCAGAAAGGAAGTTAAAAGCAATGTGGCTGGGATTGCACTAAGAATGACTGACACCAATACAGCAATAAGTTATGGTCTGGTTTCCTAACTTACTTCTCAACAACCAATCTTGCTTGTTTCTATCGGTTCCGCTCGAACATTTTTGGATCTGCGGGCACCATGTGCACTGAAACGGAAATATGTACATAGATATAGTATATTACCCATTCGCACATAGCCTGTACAATTTGCTCGTTAAAATAATGACAGCAGCATCTACAATAAAACTACCAAAATTATTCATGATATTTTTAGCGTCAATAACGTTATAATGTTAAAAAATTTAGGGTGTGAAGTGTGAACCAAAATATCTTTAGATAGGTACTTTAGTTAATAAGAATAACACAAAAACATTTGAAATGAGTTTCAGGTAGCGTAAGGTTCAATTTACACCGCTTTTGCGATGAACCTGTACTGCTGTACATAGCAAAATGAACTTTATGTGAACGGATGGAGGTAAATAATTTAGGATAAAGACCAACTCACGTTGAAGCCAGTGTTGTGGTTGAGACAAGAGTCGCAAGTATCGTACTGCAGGCAAGTGGGCAAAGCTGTCATCTTGAGTACGGTGTTGTTTGTGATCAGATGGTCCTTGAAAGACACGCGATGGTACTCATAGATGGTCTTGCGGCGGACATCTAAACATCAAGTAACAAAAAATAATTTTAAAGCATTCTCATTTTAAAAGAATGTACAACGTTTCACTTCATTCATGTACTTTAGTAAAAATATAGTGTCACTGTTTTATTTTTGCCTGCTGATTGCCTCGTTGGCCGAGTGGCACGTGCGACTGCCTGGCAACTGTCTCAGGTTTGATTCCTATCCCAGGTCGTGCAAAGTATTACGGGGATTTTCAAAAAAAATTTGAAAATCCTATTACTATTGTAATAGCACGGGGTCTGGAATTGTGCCCGGTATATGACAATAGGCTCACCCGCTATTACATGGGACTCATAACACAAATAGTGAAAAGTGGGTGTTAGATTGTAAAGTGACATTAGGTACCGCTATGCGCACCTCTGCCTGCCCCTTCGGGGATAAAAGGCGTGATGTTATATTGTGAGTTTTTATTTTTTTATAAGTACCTACATTTTACATTTATCATTATCATATTATTATTTAATTCGAAGTATTTAAATGCAGAGGACGTTTGTAAGTTTTTTAAAATGTAATGTATGCATGTACATACGTATGAATGTATTTGAAGTAGATATCTTTACATTAAACTGGAATTACAGCTCATTTCATTAATGACCAAATGCTGTTCAATTCAAATTAAAAGCTTATCGTGAGATAAGTATCGAAGTGCCTTGTATTTTATATTTAGACTCAATATTGTTTTTGAATATGTATTACATTTGAACAGTAGCGCCGTATCGAGTGACATGAGTACTTACAGAACACAATTTTATCAGTGAGGTAAGCGTCACTGATTCCGACTTTCACGGGGTGTTCAGTGTCGTTGATTTCTTGCACGTCTATAGGGATATCTTTGTACGCGAATATGATGTCACCGTTCTTGTACAGTGTTACAGCGAATGTGAACTTCTTTGTAGTGTCCTCTTGAAGGGTGACATTCTCCCAGAATGCTGAGAACTTTTCACCTGAAATTATATTTAGAGAACTGATTTTAAATTCATCGTTTAATTTGTTCGTTAGCAGAAATAGAAAGGAACGGACTGAACTAGTAACTTCACGTATGTTATTTCGCGAGGCGAGGCTTGTTTGCTTTTTACTTAACCAAAGGTGAAAAACCTCACCTCACTCTATAAGAGGAATCTTATTGATAGGGGAATGCATCAACTGGATTCCCTCACTCTGAGTGAGGCGAATAAGAGTGTAACTCTTACTGAATAAAAGTCACCCCATTCCTACTCCTGCCCACAAGGTTGTCCGCAGCCCAGGTCGGTGTGAAAGGTGAGGCTTATCACAAAAAAATCCAGTATGATTAAATACTTGAGCAAGGATTCTTCTAAATAAACAAAACTCTGAATTGCACAGCATACTAAGAACAACCGCAAGAATTTGAAATATACATATGTTAGTTTTAAAAATGATAAAGATTATTCGAATCATGAATCACATAAAGTTACATCCTCGGCATCAGCTGACTAAGGTACTGTAGACGGAAACCGCAGAGCAAGCTGAGGAATATAATATAAATACGAACATACCATCATCGTATAGTTTAATTTTACTGTCGTTGGTGAGCGTGGTGTCGAAGTTACCCATCAACGGGGCGATGTACTGTGTTGCTGCCAACCAGTTGTGGACATGCTCGCCCGTGTAGATGAAACCCCCGGTCGCCACTGTCACGTTGCGGATGTTATGACCGTAGAATGGGAAATCGAAGCTCAATTGTATCGACTGTAAATAAAATATTTTTTCTTTTATTATAATTATATAGTCTATCGCACAGTGGCACGCTATTGGAGGGGCGGAATATGTTGAATGTTCTTTTACGTGATCTTATTCTCAGTAGGTTAGGACCAGCACTTTGACTGCAACCTTCCACTAAGAGCTCTGTCTCATTGGGCTGGCATGGTGACGTCGCCAGCTACGTATCCAAGATCCAAGTAGATAATATTGAAATAAATTGTACCGCACTCACTCCGTCACCACTCAGCCATTACTTTGACATAAACATGTAAGTATAATTTGTGACGATGATTCCCGTCATAGTGACTTAGTTACTTACAGTGGCTCTCCTGTGTGAATTGCTGAGCACTTGGTGAACTTCTGCCTTCTCGATAGTGATGTTCGTCCAGTAATCCTTAAAGAACGTCACGTTACCGATGAACGTACTATTGTAGAAGTTGTGGTGGTCCTAAAAAGCAACAACAAATAATATTAAGAAACAAGTTTATAAAAAATAGGTACTTTGTTCCTATTGCAGATAAATAACTCTCTTTGCCAATTAATTTGAAAAGAAGGTACATTTTACACACTTAGTGAACCAAATTTGGAGTGAGATTGATTTTTGATACTTTGCTTATGAAATAAACGGTTTTCATTCTTTCTATTGTAATTAGCAGGTCTATATAAATATATGTGTTCAATACTTAAAAATATACACTTACGTAGGTCAAGTTAGAAAGGTTCTGCTCTGACACGATCCTTTCCGGTGTTTCTTTGAACACATCAGTGAAATCTGCACAAATAGATAACAATTATGTAAATTATTTTAAAAACAATATTTAATAGTTCATGTTCTTGTGTCGCAGGACCTATTTCAAAGCAGTGGCAAGTAAAACGTGTGACATTGTGCGGGCCCGTATAAAGAGGGTTCAGATATATCAATTTAGTTTATTAAGCTTTGTCAGCGAACTCGTATGCAGCCAGCTTGTACAGATAATTATGAAAATAGTAACCCATGGGAATCCGTGACAATAAGTTTTTTGGGATGAATATTATATAATATGTCACAGGGTTACAAGTTAAGTCGACATTACACCCTTAAGGGTGTCAGATATTAATGAATGAATGTCAGAATGACTTCATTTCTGAATGATATAACCTGTTAATCACTGATTTAAGTTAACACATTATTTTGGTTATTGGATGCTATTTAAAATTGTGAAAAATCGGACGAGCATGGATTATCTAATGGCCTGATAGTAAGCAGTCGGCGCTATCCATAGGCACCGGCTACACCAAAGGAGTCATAAGTGTATTGCCGGCCTGTTAGGAAACGAGGATTTCAAGATTAGAAATGGAGTGGATTGGGCCTCCCGTAACGTCGCTCACATAAACGGCGAAACAGAGGCCTTAGTACGATTTTTTTTTTTACATTTAAAGTGACCGGAACAAGACCGCGTTCGCCGCTCTGAGTACCAAGTACGAATAACTATCGCTGATTGGTTGGTCCTTTGGAACGTTTCGATTAACGTGAAACAAACTCGTACAAAGTCCACATAACGCAAGTATTGTTTCACGTCGGTTTTCTGTAAGGCTGTGGTATAACTCCGGTCGAGCCAGCCCATTCGTATCAAAGCATGGCTCTTCCACGTGAAATATAGTAATTAGTAAACAACGCAATATATTTACAAAATTAAGATATACATTAAACTTGTGTAAAAGTAAAATTGTTGAAACGTGCAGATTGCAATGAGGACTATCGTTTATGTGCTCACTAGACGGCGCAAAAGTAGCTTAGGTCCAATCCAATCCAAAGTAGTTTGTCCAATCACTGTAGCTGTCGAAAATATCGATGCTCTTAATAGTCGATGTAATTACGAACTTGTTGTTCATGTTATTCTATTTTAAGATTAAATACTTAATTGGAACCTACTTTTAATTGGGTATTTGATGTAAAAATATTGTTATTTATAGATTAATAATAAAATTTATAAAATGACGTCGTAGCTCAACAATTTCATACAGATCATATAAAAACTGTCGTTTTAGACATTTGTAAAAGGGATGTATTAGTTAATAACGTCCTTATAGCTTATAAGCCGCTAATTTGTAATAAATAAAATTTATTATATAAAGTGTAATAAAGAAACTTTGCATGTACTACCTACTTCAGTTTCCTGCACATGCAAGCACCAAGCACGTTTGCTATTAGAAGTACTCCCGCACCTGGCCTTTCTTTAGTACCTCCTCAATGGGGACTTAACATGTTTTTAAGACGACTCTACCAAGTTCTCTTTAGTATAAATACCGTTGTTCATACAAATAGTCGTAAACAAAGTAAAAATGTAAACCTTAAACGTAACAAATTTGTACAAAATGTATTCAAATTACAATACAATACATATTGCATAAATTAGACAAATTTTTCATGTATTGGCTAGTTGCCAGACGCAATTCTGTTTATGTACGCCTACCTACCAGAAACCACTATTCCTAAATTAGTAATGACGGGCCCAGATTGAAAAGTTCAATCATCAATCTAGTAATTATCTCTAGAACTTGCTGACCATAATAGGATTTCTTCAGAGTATTATTTAACATTACAGAGCCTTTTCTATTAGGACTTCTTCATAATAAATTACACGTTTTAAATATCGGTAACAAGACAGCAGTTTATGATTATCCTCTGAGTGATTCTGCAAGATACAAAGTATTTCACTAAGTTGTTCTGTTAGGTATTATATTAGGTAAAATATTGTAACAATATCAGAATGAAAATGCAGATTTTAAAAATACCTCAATTTTTCTTCTGTGATATCTTTAGGGGTCTGCCGCAAAATTGATATACGTTAAACGTCATCACTTAGCAATAGCATCGTTGACGATGCCTTTCATACATTTTTACCAAGACCTTTCTTTTATTTAAGTGTAAAATGAAACTATTAAATCAGTTTAGCAATAAAATCAAGTGAAGCTACGCAGAAATTCCAGGTTAAAGAAATACTTATTTTAATATATTAGTTTAGTTACATACTATTTCATATTTCCTGCAATATAATTGACTGCTTTAGTTATGAGTTATAAATAGGCGTGTCATATATAGCGTATAATTAAATCTGTACGCTCAGAACATGTCATTACTTATGTTAATAAGTTCAGATTGTAATGGCATCCAATTGTTTTCTTTTTTAAATAGGTAACGATCAAGACATTTTTCAGAAAATCTTACGGCTTGTACTTTAAGAGTTTTTATGTTTTGTGTCTACGCAAGCTACAGAAATTGTATCACGTAGTTGGAATAATAAAAATATCAAATAATGATTTTTAACATTACTAACAATAAGCAATGTCCTTAACATTGTATTTATTTTCATACATAATAAACAATAAACCAGAGAACACAGAGTGAGTATTGTGCTTAGCTATCCACCCAATACTTATTGTTACGTTACTGTAGCTACTTAGCTACCGTCACAAATTTCTCAATTTTCCACATTGTCTATTGAAAGCCAATCGGATTTCACTTTTTATTCAGTCGTTGATGTAACTGGAATCGATTCTCTGTTAATTCAATACTATATTATTATATTCTATTTTAAAACTAACATACCATAACTACTCCTATAGAAAATACATTGGATACTATAATCTGCATTATTTTTTTTTATTTATTACAAAGTTATTAAAATATCAACGTGAATGGTCCTGAGAGTATTATGTTATGTAGATAAGTAAGTATCTAAGTACTCGACTTTCCTAGTAAACTTGTTTATTAGCTTCTTAATTTATAGTACTGCCAAGATAAGAACATTTATGGCCGTTGTAAAAAATTACTATTTTGAAATTCCGTATCAATAATTCGCAAGAAAAAAGAAACAATTAATTGATTGATACACCTGATTACAGAACTATTCGCTACATTATAATGTTTCATAACAAACTGAAGTAATAATGTTTGAAAAGATTTCTTAGTAGTATTGGAAAATATTTAACACAAAATAGAGGTAATGTGTCAGGAAAGCTGTAGGCAGACATGGCAACCTAATACTGACTAGTCTTATAGTCCACACACTAATCGTTAATTCTTAAGGATCCTAAAAAGACAGCAAATCTATTGATAGTACAGTACTTCTGAGAATATCGGAATAAAAAACACTGTAATTACAAGAATCTTAAGGAAAACATAACAAAATGAGTTCGTTCTTGAATAAATAACGTCAATGTTATTGTAGGGAATCGTATGATCACTGCTGAGTCACGGATAGGCATCACGCGGTTAAATTTTATCTTAATCCGACTAATCTAAGTTCAGTAATAATGTTAAGTACGTACTGTCATCCGGCACGATCGGGTCGCTGACTTTGGGCATTGTATCCGTTAGATTGATGGGCAAATTTGCTGTGAGGTTCACATGCAGTATTCCCGAGCCGTTGACACCCAGCAATGGGGTTTGTGTTACTGATGTTGCAGTAGTTGGTGCTGCACCTGTAAAATATTAAAAATCACGTACATTTTTGACATTACTGGTCTAAGTGTTGTATTCACATCACTCGTGATTTGTAAGGATGTTCGTCACTGAGATAGAAGAATATGTACACATCAATTTTAACATAGGTATATAGTAATGCAGATATTTGCAATGTTGCACATTGCCGATAAAAACACGTATCGCAATGGAATTTACGTCGTAGTTTCCTTTATAAAATAATAAGCTGGGCTATACCCAGCAAACTTAAATGGGAGAATCCCTTCCTTTAAGGGTGCATTCAGATCTGACCTCTAGCTCGCGACCTGCGCGCGTGCATTTTTCCCCGTTTATATCAACTTAATCGCCAGATGTGAAGGCACCATTAGATTTAGGATTATACTTAAATCGATTTCGAAGGTAAGACTCCGAGAACAACGGCAAAATGTGGTATGCGTTTTTGTTTGCATGGATGCAAACAAAAAACGCTCATCTCGTCAGCTCGTAAGCTAGATCGCTACCGACAGTAGTATAAAAAGAGAGAAATAGCTAATGTTTATCGTACATAGTAACACATATAACATAACATCATGCATTTTATCCTCGAAGAGGTAGGCAGAGGTGTACATTATGTCACTGTAACATGTATCTATGTAATCAAAAACAAATTGCATTGTAGCAATGCGTATACGCATCTAAATCGCATGTGCAATAGTCATTCGATTGATAAATAATAAGTTTACAAACAGCCAAGCATAGAAGAAATACATACAGATTGTACACACGAGTTGTATTGTGAAGCTAAAAAATATATAATACTAGCTTTTACCCGCGGCTTCGCTCGCGTCACGAAAGGATAAAAAGTAGCCTATGTGACATATAGCAATACATACAGCGCCATCTATACCAATACTTTTGTTTTCCCTCGGATATATCAATTTTTTCGGGATAAAAAGTACCCTATTATTTAATCCAGACTACTAAATTTACGTCTGTAAAAAATCAATGCAATCGGTTTAGTAGTTACGGCGTGAAGGTGGAACAAACAAACAAACAAACAAACTCACTTTCAGATTTATAATATTATATAAGTAATAAGTAATAAGTAAATAAGTAAATATAAGTAAAATAAGTAAATAAGTAATATAAGTAATAAGTAATAAGTATAAGTATAAGTATTAAAGTATATAAGTATATAAGTATATAAGTATAATAAGTATATAAGTAAGGATAGTAAGGATAAGGAAGTAAGGATAAGGATAGTAAGGATAGTAAGGATTAGTAAGGATTTATATAGATAGAATCATTCGGTCACTAATTATATTGAGGTAAGCATTAGTTTTAACAAGGCTTATGACCTTGGCTGTCTGTGCCTTTCTAAGAACAACACAAATAAATATAGTCTTTTTTAAACGGAAGCACTGTTACAATCATTTTATTTGTTTTAATTACTTTTGCTTTATTGTAATTTCGTCCTGCAATTTGATTCGATATTGTCAGCTTGGAATTCGTCTACATTATAAGAAAAAATCATTTCACTAAATAAATCATTAAAAATATGAAATCATATTTAACTTTAGAAATTTTAATTTTTTTATGGGATAAACCGATAAACGATCTGACGGATCACCTGATGGTAAGCAATCGGCGTCGCCCATGGACGCCTGGAACACCAGAGGCTTTTCAAGTGCGTTACCGGCCTTTTGGGATTAGGAATTTCAGGATTGTTGGGGATTCAGGGATTGGGTGAAGGGGGGAGGGTAATTGGGCATCCGGTAACCTCACTCACATGACAAAACGACAAAAATAAACAAGTAATAAAATTTCTATTGAACATATATATATATATTGGTAGCATAGTGTAGTTGTTTAAACTGCACAACTAAAAGTACTCACTACTGTATCATAATAATAGAAATTAAATGAAAGTTATCCATTGATACAAACGGTCCTCATTTCGCTACAAAAGTCGTCACGCGTGGGTCAATCAGTGGTGGAGACCTACGCATAGTAGGTACGCATATATTCACATTGTTCATACTACAAAAGCGTGTTGTGATGTAATCGGTCAATTTTGAGAATGCATGCATACAATATGGTTGGATTTAAATCAAAACTGTAGGTATTTAAGATGATCAACAGCGTATAAGTGGTTCATGTTGACCAAAGCCCCTTCTGACGCGGAGTAGGGTTGAGCATTAATCACCACACTTGCTTAATGTGTGTTGTTGGCGATTACAAATTATACGCCCAGGTTTCTTCACTATGTTTTACATATATCTCGAAAAAAGTCACATTGGTAAGTACCAATGTGACTTTTTTGGCAAGTGCCTTTGGTACATTGCGAACCCACGCCCTTATACATATATGAGAAGCAACCACGACTGTTTCTACGACGGTATTTAAGATACACGGTTGCAAATAAATTCGACCTTTAAACCTAAAGGATTAAAGTAGAAATAATAATTATTATTTTTCTTTTTCGTGAATTCCGATATACATGAATGCGATATGTAGGTGAAATATTATGTGTTTATTTATTTATTTTAAACACTCACAACGGTAGAAAACCAATTACAGTAACTGACTTAAGTTCTTGTGATTGCAACCACGATACAGGATATAAAATCTTAACTGATATTGATAAGTTATGTATTTTCTATACTTCAATGTTTATGACATGAGTAAAATGATAAATTCAACGAGTTTCATTCTCTTGGGCCTCTCTAACTGAAAACGTCCTCAGTAAGAAAATTGTAGATCAATTTGTACACACATACATATAATTGGGGTCGCAACTTTTCGCATGATAAATGCGTTCACAGTATATATATATACTGTATAGAGTTAGAGGAAAATATTGATGTATCCATGTATGCAATGCTATACTCTCACGGTTTATGAGATATAGAGGTACTACCACATGATATTATTTTAACCGCAAGTGCGTCGCGAACAAAAACAATACACTGCGACACATCATTGTATTGTGTACCTTGACTAAGCGTTACACCGGGGTTCACAATAAATCAATTTCGTCAGGTCGTTTCTCCTTTGTCAATTTATCATTGATTTCAGAGCACAGTCGATTTCACTAGCTTTTTTTTAGAATTATTTTTTGTATTGAATGCAAAAAAAAATATACTTAAAACGAGATTTTAGTATCGAGGTGTATTTTTCTAAGACTTTATAAATCTTATTCGTGCCCGTGTTATATTATACTTTTATGCACTTCCCCATGCATTCAAAATGCAAGAGTCGATGAGGAAAGACATAGTCAAGACAAAACAAAAAAATAATATTTTTTATTGGATACTAAACGAAACTAATTAAAAAGACGGTTATTTATATTTAAAATTCATGAAATTTTAATAATATCTAAACTTGCTGACAACTAAGGTAAGAAGTCGATGCTTGTAGGCTTAAAATATTTTAATTAGTTTAAAGTTGCCTCCCTGTTTTGTAAACATGTTCCACTCATTTCCCAAACATGTTTTTGTATATTGCATGTTTCATTTGAATCATACGTTTTGTTTGTTAATATAATTGGTAACAATAACAAGTAATTTTTGATCAAGCTTGGAAATTACGACAATTACTTTTACACGACAATTACCGTCAATACACCGGACTTATAGATGCCATGCAGCATATTAACAGGCACTTAGTATACGAATGCATCTATCTACCACGTTACGGTTCACGTGGCACAACAATCGCGGATATTGTAGCAATAGAAAATCAGTTGAATGCATTGTTTAGACTTTTTTCCTTTGACGTCATCCAAGGCTAGCAGCAATGTTGACCTTTTGTCTAGTCTATAATCAATATTTACTTAGTGAGGAATAAAACAGTGATAAACAAGTACCTATATACACATGTAGTGTACACAGCGACAACTCAATAAAAACTAGAATCTACCCAGCAGCGGCAATAGGACCATAGGCCATTAATATAAAAAAATAAGTTGTTACATTTAACAGGGGCTGCCTGATTAGCGGCGAATACACATTTCATATTATCTACTTGTTCATTATAGCTGTTAAACTGACCGAACATATGGCAAGCACTTCTTATACACACTTTTTTCAACTTCTTTTTTTCGCATCGCAATAACAAAAGTAACATATCTCATATTGTTTCACTCTGACTGGTGGACCAAATAGATTCTTGTTCATTTTCATACTTTGTCATCATCACTATTGTTCAGATATTTGATTCTTAGTAAAGTTAAAAATGAACTGCCATAAGTACCTTAAGCATAAGCATTTATTTCGTTGTTTATGCAGGAACTAGCGAGCTATAACAGTACTTCCACGCCGCGTAACCTAATCACATCAGAGATCCTTTATAAGTATGGGTAACCGTGATATGAATAGCAACCAGCTAATTTCAATTCAAATTGCCAGTCACTGCCTTGAAAATCAATTAGTGGAATATTCTCAACAAGATTAGGGCCACAGAACAATCAAAACAAAGGGCAGTAGAATTAATTAGGTATTGCGATGATTTTATGCACGCGAAATTACACATAACATAAACATCATTTAACGTTACGGCACAAAACAAATTCGCATTCAAAATGAGTATGGGCTTGTACACAAAACTGCGATGCGATGCGATGCGAATTCGTGCGAAAAGGCATCTCCCAGGGTGACCATTCCTTCGACGACCGTCAATTGTAGTAAACGTATTTTAAAATGAAAACTAGGTCGTGACATGGATCGTAAAAAGAAGTGTTCACTTCTGTTATTGCTTAGGAGATACAGGAAAAAGAAACAAAGAAGATTTTGGAAGTAAGATTTTGATGCGCGATGCGAATAAATTCGCACGTTCTGCGATGCGTAGATACTGTGGCATACTGCATACAAAATGAATATAATGTGAAAAAAATATATATTCAATTAAAGTAATTTTATCATAACATACTATTGAGCTCATTTATTTATATATACATATATGGCGCATGAGTCAAGAGGAGAATTGTCAATTTAAGTTAGGAAAATTTAATGTTTTAGTT